GTGGAGGTCCGGACTTTTTACTCCATAAGCTCAGAACACATACAATAATACTGCACCACCTACAGGTGGGAGGTAGTAATAGCTGCTGCTAGTTACAGTATACCACATATATAGCAGAGATTCTCAGACATTATACTGCTACTGCTGTTGGCCCTTCAAGCCTTATTTTATAATCAGAGGCCATCAAATTTTGATGTTGTAGCTGAAACAGCCTTCCTCAGCCTATAGGGTTGGCTGAATCTGTGGTTTGTTTAGAACGACTGGTGAAAACTTTGCAACAACAGCAAGTGAGTGTATACAAATAAGAACAGGAGGGGCTACTTGAGTGAAAAAGACAAAGACAATTAGAGGAGTGACTTTAGTTAGGGCAACCGACTGACTCAGGCTGATGGAATTAAGTGAAAGATGAGGTGTCAGTGAACAGAGAAGGCTTCAAAACCTGTTAGTCAACATTCTGCATCTGTTTTTAAAACTCAGACAAGCGACACACCCAGGCTTTATTACGCACTCATTCATCTAGTTTTAAGGGCTGGCTCTGCAATAGCATCCTATATGTCACTGTGTGTGTTTATGTGTGGAAGAAAACCATGGCAGTTTTGGATGCAAGTAAAGAAATGAAAGTAAGTAATAAATATGCAAACATGCAAGAACATTTTCATCTTCAGAAACAATCTCTGTTTAGTAATGTAATGTCTTCCAGTTTTCACAAGTCACAAACATCAAGTTGCATTTTCTGCAGGGAACAAAATTATTTGGCTTTGCTCAAATGATCGCAGAGACAAAGATTTCAGAATGAAACAAAGCCCTTCACTGCTTTTAGAAATAAAGTGATGTCTCTTACTGTTTCAGATATCAGTGTAGTAAAACTAAAGACAAAGGTTATTTTATTAAAAAGTCTGACGTCTGTAGTGCAACTTGGAAATGCAAACATGAAAATACAGAAGCAGAGCAAATGAGAGATTCAATATTATGCTCATTCACAGAAAGTAAAACCAAATTTCTAATGATATTAGTGTCCTAATATCAACAACTGTATCTGTACAAAAGGGTTAGGTTTGTGTATGGGATTTTCTATGCCCCCTGAATGCACCATCGGGGTGCATGTCCGCAACTTTAGTTCAGAGACAAACGGCAGCCAAACAACGGACAGTGTGTGCGTTCATAAGACCGTAAGTTAATGTTTTACTTCACTCAGTTATGTTGGTGTTCAGCCATGAGTGTATTTGATGACTTACCAGCAGTTTCTGCTTCTGTTTAAGTGACGTTATGTACAAGTGGCAGTTCGCTAGCATAACAGATTTGTTTGCTAATTAGCTTCTAGCAGAGAGATTCGTTTTTATCGTGTTGTTGATTCTGTGCTCTGTGTAACAGATGATAAACCGATGTAAAGTTGCCTTCAGTGCATAGTTGTATGCGGTGTGTTAATGCATAATGTCTGACTTTAAGTTTATGTAACCAGGCTGAAGTATAATGTCAGCTTATATACTGTACTTGAGTACACCTCAGTTATATCTTTGTTTATTATGTAATTTGATTCCTAATTGATTTGTATCATTATGCTTTGTCTGCAGAAACCACCCACACACACTCTGTCGCCCAGCTGCGGGCACATTCTCAATTGGAAATACAAAGAATGACAACTTTATTCCTGGACTCTGCCTGTTTGTTCCTCTCACATCTGAACATTTGCAAGTGTTCTGACCCGACACTCTGAAGTGATTGCTGCCAGCTCAGATTTCTTTAACCCTTCGGAACAGTGTCCTCACAAAAGACTGCTATTATTTGTAATGAAAGGTTTACAGTGAACGTATTCAGTAGAGCACATAGAACACAGTGGAAGACAAATAACTGCAATGTATGCTATAATAGTGCAATGCTTTAGTATGTTTTCAGACCAGTACAAAATAAAGGGAAAGATTTGATACCTACAACCTCAGTCCACCATTTCTGTTTCTCTATTCAGATACTCTAATAAATGTTGTTAAAACAGAACACCAGACACCAAATCAGTTCACCGTGTTGCTCATCATTCACTTCAAATTAAGATATTGGTTGAAACCATTTCTCTGCACACTGCAGTGGTTTGAGGTTTAGTCATACTGGGTCATGGGGTGATCATTCCAGGGAGGCAGTGTTGAGAGCTTCCCTTCAGTGGCTGTTTCTATTGGCCAGCCCCAGGCCTTAAAGAAGCCAGTCAGGTCCATACCCACAGTCTGGGAGAAAGTCTCAGCATACAGGTTCATCTTTCCTTTGTTGTCCTTGGGGATGTCTTTCATGTGATGATACGCAGTAAACACCTTCTTAAAGGCATCCCAGCCAAACCTTTCCTGGAGCTGCAGATGAGGAGACAAAAATCAAAATGCTGATAATCATGTTATGTCTAATAAAGTGTTCATGTCAGGCTTATTTCTGTTTGTTAAGATACTGTTTTAATTCTGTCTCCACACTTTCTTGATAGTGACTTGATTTAAAATATATCATCTTACAGTTCTACTCTGTAGTTTCTCTACAGAGTAGAATTCTCTCACCTGCATATATGTTTCCAGAGCCACCCACATGCTCCAGCTCTCAGGTTTCCTGCCTCCTGCGACGTAATCCTTGGCTCGACTTTGTCGATTTTCTGCAGTCATAGCTCCATGAGCCTGCATTAAAAACATGGAATGAGATAATTGTAAAATATTTTACTCTTAGTAAAAACCGAGTTCAATCATCAGTTATCATGGGATATCAAAATAGACACATGTGATTTACTCTACCTGTCCTCTGTGGAGACCCAGCACCTCTTCATGCACATACACTGACCACAGGTTGCATGTACACTCTGTGGTGTTTGGTGGGAACTCCCAGCAGCCTCTCTGTTGGTTGTGTCCCAGCTCGTGGATGGGGCCCCACATTTCTTTCCCTTTTTTAACACCGACCAGCTCAGCAGCTGAGACTTTGTGTGCCATGATAGGATAACCTGCATGCATCCAGCCTGAACAGAAAAAGAGAAATGAACAGTGGTATAGTGACGATTCTTTCAGATTTTATAGCTTTGATTTTAAAAAAATAAACAATTAACAAACAACCAAAAGCATGATATGCTTATGGTTCTTCGGTAAAAGTTAGTCATGTTAAGTGTAAATGTTCATCTGTCTCTGTGGTAACCCTGCAGTGGTCTTGCGACCTGTCCAAGGTCTGCTCAGCCTTTTGCCCTGTCAAAGCTGAGATAGACACCGGTGGATGGATAGACGTTTAAACAAGTTTCTCTGATTGGCAGTTCTTTATAAACACAAGACTTCAATAACAAATGGGTAGAGCTTCTGCACTCAGAGGCTAAGCTGGGGATACACGCCCTCAGGGATTTCAAACAGAGCCAAAAGTAGAAGGAAAAACTGTCTGATGAATAAGCATTTAGAGCTCTAAAGCCTGAGCTTTCAGCTTACAGGGATTAAGTGTGCACACACCTCATTTTCTGAAACTTGTTAAACAGCTGAAGCCAGCATTGTTACTGTATATATGCACTATTTTGCCAAAAGTATTTGTTCGTCCACTTTCACACCCACACAAATTTGGGAGACATCCTATTCTGAATCCATAGGGTTTAATATGATGTCAGCCCACCATGTGCAGATATAACAGCATCAGCTCTTCTGGGAAGGTTTTCCACAACATTTAGGAGTGTGTTTATGGGAATTTTTGGCCATCCAGAAGCGCATTTGTGTGGTCAGATACAAAGAGTCCAGTAGCAGCATTCTGTACATCACCAAAGCACAATGCTTTGCACTAGTTCAAAGCATTAAATGCAAAGGTTTATATGCTTTGCACTGTCCCTCGTGGTGTAAAGTTTGGAATCAGGTGCTCAGGCATGGAAACCTTTTCCATGAAGCTCTCTGTGCACTGTTCTTGAGCTAATCTGAAGGCCACATGAAGTTTGCAGGTCTGCAGAAAGTTGGCAACCTCTGCACGCTATACACTTCCCAATCCGATGACCCTGCTTTGTGATTTTACTTAGCCTGCCTCCTTGTGGCTGAGTTGCTGTTGTTCCCAGTCCCTTCCACTACTCACTATGTTTAGTAGCGAGGAAATATCATGACTGGACTTCATGCTGAGGTGGTATCCTATCACATTACCACACTGGAATTCCCTGAGCTCCTGAGAGCGACCAATTCTTTTACAAATGTTCATAGAAGCAGTCTACATGCTTTGGTGCTTGATTTTATACACCTGTGTCATGGAAGTGATTGGAACACCTTACCCCAATGATTTGTATTGGTGACTAAATACTTTCTGTTTGCTAGTTCAGAGAACTGGACCATGCATACCCTGCCTGTCACCCAGCATTACTTGAGACTCTATATATGACAAGCCAGTTAAAGGCAGGTCTATATACAACATGAGGCAAAATGCCCTTACCAGCAGAAATCTGCACATCTGCCACAAAGCGCTCCTTGCGGGGAAATTTGTGTGGTTTGGCAGCCAGATCTGCAATGGCCCTCATGATTTCATCCCACAGAGCGGCTAGCTCGTCAGGGCGCTCCAGACCCCGAACAGCATCTGATGGTACGGTGAGGATGATGTTTTCGAACTCCAACTCTGCCCAGGGTGAAGGAGCTGTGCGCAGCAATGACCACTGAGCTGCAGTTGTTACACCTGAAAAGAACAAAGAGAGGAGTGAATTTATTAAAATGCTTCAGGCTCCAACACATAAAAACAGAATTAAGGGCTAGCTAACACCAACTTGAAATATTAACAGTTAGGGAAGCCTAATTCATTGTATCAGACGTTAAACTGTTGGATATTTACTTTACTTTACTGAACACTTCTAACACTCCTAACACTTCATATTTGATTAGAACCAGGGAGATGCTGCCCTCAGCCCCTTAAATCGCCTTATAAACTGTTTGAGAATAGTCTATTAGACGAGTACAAAAAAGTTAACAAAGTCAAATCCACCACAGACTCACCAGACTTATAGTATGGAGCAGGTACAGCCATCTGCACTATGACCTCCAACCCCTTCACTTGTGTTTTGGGTGGGGCCACAAGGAAGATGAGTCCTCCCCAAAGGTTCCAAACCTGTATCATCTCTGATGTGACAGGAAATCGCTCATGGACAGACGGTGGTCTCTTCAGCTCCTCATGGTGGTGCAGTGAATCAGTTTGACATCCTATCTGAATCTGCAGAAGAAAAGAAAAATGCATTGTAAGCAATCTCTATATGCTAAAGTACTGAACACTGTAAAAAGGAATGTCTAAAAATTGCAAGGACTCCTCTGTGTTTAGACACCTAAATGACCTGAAACAACTTACAGTATCTATTCACCGCAAAAAAAAATTCAGGTTCTGGCACCTTGCCATGTGGACATGAGCTGTACTTGTGGTGAGTCTCTGTCACTACTGGAGACAGAGACTTATATGAGGTTGAACTCAAAATCAATTGACTTCATATGCTGTACCTTCCAATCCTTGTTGACAATCTGAGGTGGTATAGCGATGTAGGTCTTCATACCAGGAGAGAGGTAGAGACCTGTACTGATCCACTCTTCCCCATCTGAAACACACAATTATAAAAGATCACAATCAGGGACGTTTACAGGTATAAAATATGCATTTTAAAAACTATGTTTCACAGTTTCCAGTGTTTGCAATGAGCTGCATATATTAACACATTTTTAACACAGCAGTGAGATCTGACCTGCTGTATCAACATCAACCTTGATCCGGTGGTTATAGACAACAGGCATCATTGGGTTGTCCTTGATGAGGTAG